TGAACTGATCGCAAGCGTCTGCTCCCCTCCCCAGCTGGACTTCACATTAAAGGACAGCTTGCCGTCCTTGTCGATAGCTGGGGGGCTGGTGGCGATGGCGTTCTGATCACCCAGGAAGGAGGCAGAAAAGGAGGAGGAGCGACAGATGGGAGGCACGAGCTCGTGGACAACGGAGAGCGGAGGGATGGTCCCACAGGGCAGGTTGAAGCGAGGAGGCCGTGAGCGGACAAGGAGGGAGCGGAAGCAGGTCGTTACCAGCCGCTCCTTGGTGTAGTTGACCAAGTCCATGACGGTTGACTGCAGGAGCCTCCTCGCAGTTGGGGAGCTGCAATTCTCCAGCGTCTCGTTACAAGGAAGAGACGAGTTTGACGTGCTGTTGAGCTGACTCGAGCTGGAGTTGCCGATGGGGGGGGGGAAGAAGTAAGAATTGAAGGGGATGTTTTACCATGGCAGACTTAGTCGTGAGATTTCATTCGAAGGACACATCCTAATATAAGACCCACATGATACTTCTGCCTTTCCAAAATTTCTTAATTATTATCCGAGGCTAGCCTGATTATAAGATCTATGTGCATTGTTGACTAATAAATGGGTCTCTTTAGGTCGGGGCATGGCAGGCCAGCAGCTGGACAGGGGTGAGTTGGGGTCGAGCAGACGATGGGCAGAGCTGAGGAGAGCGAAGAGTCTGCTGCATGCTCGTCTGTGTAGCAAGAATTCCCTCCTCCTGCTCTTGACTCTCTCCTCCTCCTGGTGTTGCTGGTGTTGCTGGCGGCAAGACTCTCCCTCTTCCGCACGCTGCGTTCCGATTCACAACAGCTCCTTGCTCTCCAAGGAGCATCCGAGAGGCGAGGGCAGCATTCCTGGAGAAAGATGTTCGGAGGAAAGGATCCGAGCGATCACCAAGACCAAGCCTCATCTGAACTCCTTCTGCCCGCTCAATGAACGATGGATCGATGCGCTGTTGGAAGAAACAGCCCATCTGCCATCGGCGACCTTGCTGTCCATTGGGTGCAATAAGGGCGAGGACTTGATCTACTGGATGCATTCCTGGTCGAGAAATGACAAGTTCTGGGTGCCAAAGTACAGGACGTGCGAGCAGGAAGAGTTTCCAACTTACGTTCGTAGGAAGTGCGGACAGGCACGACAACGTCGGTTCCTGCAGGCAGGCATGGCTGAGAGGAGCGTTCGTGGGGTATGCGTTGAGCCGATGCCGAACAACTTCAGGCTGCTACAGACATGCATGGGGAAGTTAGGTTTCCTCGGTGAAGTCAACCTTGTGAATGTCGCCGTCTCGTCCTCAATTGGGACCGAGCGTTTTCCGCATGGGCAAGTTGGTGAAGAAACTTTGGGGCTTGAGGTACATCCCGTAGATGTGCCGACTGTTGCTATGAATGTGACTACCCTTGACTCTCTTGTCCGCCAACAAAACATCTCTAGCATCGAGTTCCTGTCCATCGATACGGAAGGCAACGACATGCGAGCGGTACTTGGGGGCATCAGAGCATTGGGAGCGCAGATGGTGAGGTACATGGAGTTTGAGTACCACTATGTCGGGCGATGGAGACGGTCAGACCTGCAGGACCTGATCGACTTGTTGGATCAGATGAACTACGATTGCTTCTGGGCGCTCAACACCGGGGGATTGAGCAGGCTGACGGGTTGCTGGCACGACAGCTACTACAGGGAGAAAGACTGGAGCAACGTCGCATGCATAAACCGCAATCAGCGAGTCACCCATCGCAAGATGCAGAGGTTGGCTGGTTTCTGACGTTTGAACCGGTCTTGCTCAGAGTGAGGATTGTGTTGTTGAAAGGATGCCGCTGTCAATGTGAGAAGAAACCTTTCATCGTCTGGAAAATCACCAAATTCTTTCAGGATCGCCGTGAATGCTGTGAAACTTCCATAGGGGCCAGTTGAAGCAATCTCACATCGTTGATGCTTTTGAACTCTCTCGATCTTCAGTCTGATTCAAGAAACCCCACAAAGAATCGTGGATGGAGGGTATCAGCTTCCTACCGACAAGTTGCTTCATTCGAACTGCAGATTGCAAGAAGGCGATGCTGAAGACATCATTACTTGTTTGAACCGGGGGGAAGACAACGATGTAGATGTTGACGGTCACAAGTGCGAAATGCACAACGTCAAGCTCGTATGTTGTCGTGTCGATTCGAAGCTCGTTGACAGTCTTGAGCCTGAGATTGATACCATCTGCCATATGACATATGAATGCGGGGCAGGGGATTCAAGTCAAACCTACACAGAAGACTACCGAAGTTGGCGATAAGCGCATCGAACATCATGCCGTCTGACAAACGTCGAACTGTAAATAGCATTGGGAGGCTTGAAACCTTGAAGCTTCTCGGGTAGTTTGTCCAGATCATTGAGGACAGGTTCAAGCCCAAGATTCCGACTGATTGACACCAGCAGAGGATAGATCTACATGTAAAGTTCAACATCTGCTCACGAATGTAAAGGTGAATGAAGCCTCACCATATGCAGCCAACGCGGGAAGGCTATCTCCACTGCTGGTGATCAAGCACTGGAAACCACTGCTTGGAGCTGAGCCATCGAGCAGATTCGTCAAGTTCTTGCTGAGATGTCGTAGAACTGAAACTCTTCGTATGTGTTCAGTTCAAGCCTGCAATGTTCTGATCAGAGGGGAGAGTGTAAACAGTAAGTGTGTCACTCACTGACTCGCAATAGTAGTGTCCTTGGAGTCCCGGCGGAAAGATCGCAGGCCACCGTGACTCACTAACAGCGAACCCGGTCGCCGCGTGACTCAGCAGTGAGTGACAGGTCGGCGGCCGGGCTACCCCGGCAGCCCGCCGGGCCCGGCGGCGGAACTTCGGGACACTGTGACGGTGAGCCTCCGTGCACGGTTATTTTAGTGGGACGCGATCCCATGTCCGTTACAGAATGTGATTAACATGGTTATATGAATTTGTACTTTATTATTATTCAGTTTTAATATTTCTATACCTTTCAATATAAAATATGTTATATGGATAATTATCACCGTAGACTTTTAAAAGTAATATAATTATTTTATGTTCTGAACGGAAACACCGTAGAACTAAAAACCTTTTAAACATGTAAATTTGAGTTTTACATTCGAAGGCCCCGAACAAAAAAGGGGGTGGGCAATGATCGAAGGTCTTCCAAGGGGGTAGTATGAATTGGAATAAGGGGTAGGGGTATTGATGGAGGGGTATTTAATCCTTCAAAAAGGTGGGTATCTTCAGCTATGGATAGTCCATCCAGGGGAGGGTAGTAATAGGTATAGGGGTGGTCGTTGTAAGACTGCTGGATGATGGGCTCTTCTCGACATGCTGGGGGCGGCGAAGAAGGAGGAATGGGAAGCGCGTGATGGGAGAGGAGGATGGGAAAGTGCTGGAAGGAGCGGCAAGACATGGGGAGATAGTCTGACTTGCATGCTTGAACCGACACAAAGTGATGGAATGGGAGGACAAGTAGATGTTCATGCGGGCTGAGCAGGCAGGCGAGGATGGTAAAACATCAGGGACAGTTAGGAGATCGGTTGTTGAGAGAGTGAGGGAGAAACAGTTAAGAGCCATAGCAAGAGGTACGGAGATAAAAGAAGCAAATGCAGACTTGGAGAAGATCGTGGATAGTGTTACAAGGTAGCGGTTTACTCGCTGGGGTTGATGCAATTGCCGATCAGACTGGCGTGACTGTCCCTTTGAGGCCGCGAGCCTGATGGACATGTCCTGACCAGCTACATACGTTGTAGCTTCATGCATGATGTTGATCAAAGAGCATAAGCTTTGAACGCAGGGGATATAACCCCTTGTCCACACAGGTTGTCATGCTGACTGAGCTACGTTGCCAGGGGGGATGCTGTATGAAACAAGATTCTCTGGTTGAGAAAACAGCACATTCGAACTCTTGCTTCGATAGCAAGGGGACAGTCCTTGGGCATGCCCTTCTAGGGGCCATAGCTCCCACAAGGTGAAGCGGAGATGAAGCAGAAGGGAAATCCTGGGCGATTCTGATCCAAGGAGAGTCGACTTTGAGTTGTACGAGAGACGCTGATGAGGACATTGGAGCTTTCCCGATAGTAGCAGAGAGCGCGCTCAGCTATACACCGCCATGTACGAACACTCTGTGGATGATCTCCAATCCCGCCTTTCATTACTGGAAGAGCGTCTGAAGGTCAAATGTTGCCAGTCTTGTCTCGTCCTTCTTCTTATCAGCCCGTAGGCGCTCGACAAGTTTGATTCTCCACCCAAGCATTCTCCACCTACTTCTATCCATGACGCTGGACCAGCTCAGCGGCAAACTTCAGGGTCAAGTTACAGACCGAAAGAATACTCTAACAGGTCTGTGGCACTTGAGGCATTTGAATGACTGAGACGAGTTGACAGGGGAATCGTAGAGCCCGTGAATATCAGAAGGCCCCCTGAAATCTTTGTGTGTCTTTGATTTCATGATGCTCGTTGTGATGCCTCTTGTTCCTTCTCCCAGAGCGCGACAGCACGGAAAGAAACGAATGGGTTAAGCACTAGCCGTTCCAATCCGTTTGGTGCAAAGGACTCTAAGTAGCTGCTTTCTGAGGAGTTTTCAGTGTCTGGCTGACTGAGATGTCTCTTCCAGTATCTTACAAGGAAATCTGCTTGACGATCTTCGAGAGTCGTCGATAAGATTGAACAGGTAAATGGAGTGCCCAGCAACGATTGTTTGGAGCGCAACGGGTTGCACGTTATGAAGAATCTGACGGCAGTTGCTCCTATATTGCAGGTCTCACCAGTTTGCTTCCAGTAGCAATGACGTGGCATCGAGGAGGAACGACACATCCTCCTTGTCGACCTCCAGTTACCTTACCGGAGATGTGAGAAAGGAGGAAGTCGTGATGGTGCGCGACTGAAACGATTTCCTGTCAGTCGAAGGACGCTGGAATTGCAGAGTTGAGTAGCCTGTATCAAATTGTACAGGTCTCGAAGATTGCCTCTTAGGCATGACTGCGCCATATGACGATCTTGCAGGAAATCAAGCATGATCTTTCTTTAATGTCGTCGTCGCCCCTTAGAGAATCAAGTTTGGCGCCGAACAGAAACGCCCCATCTACACTAAAATCTCGCCTCAATGCGGAATCAATCCCGACAGAGCCGAGCCACGTTGCCCCCACCATGTGATGAGATAATCTCCTCTTGAAGGCCTGCTAACTTGGTCCTCTGTTGTACAGTGACACCATCCATGGCCAGAAACCGAGCAAAGTAACACTTGAGATTGTTTTTGCATTGCTTTCTCTCTGACTCACCGTTCCAGGTCACTTTGTTGGAACCTGACATCTTGTTGTCGGCGAAAGAGAGAGAGCGGCAAGGGGTAAGGAACATGTTTGCTGTCTTGCTGCTGACGTCATCCGCTTCAGACGGAAGTTAGGAGGCACGACGACTCACAGAGGAGGGCGAACTCTCAGTCTCCGATCTTCGCATCGGTCGATCCTTTCGTCACCACGTTTCAGAACGGTCACAGCAAGACACATGACCCGTTGGGACTCGTCGAGCGCCACCGCTCGCCATCTCCAATCGGCCAGAACGATCATGTGACAACTCACCTTGCTGCTCCCCGGGGAGCTTCAGCCGTTCCCAAGCTCACCATCCCTTCCTCGGCTTCCCCCTTGAACTCTGCCCTTGATACCCACAACGAGGTCATTCCCAGCTCGCTACAGCTCCAGGAGCCCCTCGAGCCACAGGGAGGAGACGACAGACCTACGGAGCCCACCGCGGACCCCAGGTAGGCTGTGAAGATGATGTGCTGTCTTGCTCATTCTGTTGCAGCGTTCTAGAGCAGAGCGTGGAGGACATGGAGATCACTGCGACGGCGAGGACTTACCCGTCGGAGAATGGGGATGACGCCGAAGACTCCGCATTCTTCGATCAAAAGCTCAGCTCGTCTCAAGTTGACCCCGAGCTCGAGCACCTCCAGTCAGAGTCTCACGTCAAGGAGCTGACGGAGATGTTCACCAAAGTGATGAGTGTAAGTCCCTCCCTGGCCCCTGTTCGCTTCTTCCCTCCCCTTCAGTCTTCCTCCTTTGCTGACATGCAGTTCAGGCAAGCAAGAGCGAGGAATCTCTTCACCCTCACAAGCACGATCGCCACGATGAGCTCTCTCTGGACGACCTCAAGGTTGACGTCAAAGAGCCTGCGAGTCAGCCGGAGAAGCAAACGGTGTTGTTGCCCAGCAGCCAGTCAGAGACTGTTGGGGTCTTGCTGACCCTGGAGGAGAACCATGACAGCTTGCTCTCGAGCCCTGCGAAGAGGCAGCAGATGGAGAAGCTGATCAAGGAGGACGTGGCGTTTGCGCTCCGCGTCCCTCTCACTCGCATTCAGATCGTGAAGCTGCAGCGGGGGAGGTCGAGTGTTGACAAGAAGTTCAGCATCGTGGCTCAGATGAACATCCTGCCGCACGAGAGGGAAGGGTTCGGCCCCTTCCCCTCTGACCTCGCTGACTCCTTGATCCAACAAGTCTCAGAGTCCATGAGCAGGTTGCACAGAGCCATGAGCACCCGCAGGGCATCGGAAGCTTGCAAGTGCCCTGCCTTCTCTCTCGATGGCACCTCCTCCAACGTCCTCCACAGCCTCCGCCCGTTGCCGGAAGCAGCTGAAGAGGTCCACTTGGACGAGCAGGAGGAGGCTGAGCCTGTGCCTGTCTTGAAGTCCAAGAGGGAGGAGCAGGTCAGTATCTCTGACAGGATGGCCATGTTCCGAGCGATGGAGCAGAAGGGGGTGGTTCCCCAGCCTGTCCAGCCGCGAGCGCAAGGGCCGCACTTCTCAGCTCCTAAGGCAGCTCTGCAAGCCCACGTGCAGAGAGAGGAGAAGATGAGACAGGAGACATACAGGACTTCGTCGGCCGACGACTCGCAGAATTTTAGCATGGAGAAGAGATCTCCGATGGCGGTTGACGAGGCGAAGATGGAGAGGAGCCCACCAGAGGACCAGCTGTCGCCTGTCAGGAGCGAGAGTGCTGAGGAGGCTAAAGGTGATTTCTTGCTGCTGATCATGTCTCCATGTGTTTGTTATGATTCTCCTGCTTGTTTGTCCTTCCTGCCTCAGTCCTTGTCTCTGCTCTCCTTTGGTCCGTCCTGATCTTCCTCCTCAGCGCTGGAGGAACGTCTGAAGAGTCCCTTCGGAGTCATCCTCCGGCGGGTAAGGAGCAACTCTACAGGAGCTGGTGATGATGAGGAGGCTGCTGCTGAGAGTCGCGAGAATGTGGGAGCCTTTCCTGATGCAAAGGGACACGACAGGCAGGACGTCGAGCCCGTTGCAGAGACCATCGAGCGGGAGCATGATGAACGGGAGCCCGAGGTCGAGATGAAGAAAGAGGAGGAGGAAGTGGAGGAGGAGGGAGTGAGACAGGATAGAGTGGTGCACGGAGAGGAGAAGCAGACTTCGTCTCCAGTCTTCGACCAGATGGAAGAGGATGATTTGGGAGGGAGGCAGCCTTTGGTCGTCGACAGTCTCCAACAGGATGACGATGAGCCAGCACTCCCTCCCGATCTTGAAGGGAAGAGTGTCTTGGAGATGTTGGAGCTTTTTAACTCACCCAGGAAAGAGAAGGAGGAGGAGGCCGGAGCGAAGAAAGAGGAGCCTGAACTGGAATCTTACGACCTCGGCGGAATCATCGATAGTCACCAAGAGCGCAAGGAGGAGGGAGGCGAAGCAGCTGAAAGATTTGCTGTACAGTTTAACGACGAGGGTTGGGACGAGCCTGGAACGAAGGAGGAGGACGTGCTTGGTGAGAACTTGAACCCAGACGTGATGGATTCCGAGTCGAACGTGCTGGAAGAGAGCGTCTTGAGCAAGACAGCACTCGACGAGTCCAATATGGACATGTCCTTTGAGCACGCCAGCGCTGAAAACATGCCCGACCAGATCCCTCAGAGCAGGTTCACCGTCCTCTCACCGTTCACCTCTCGAGTGGAAGAGGAGGAGCAAGGTTCCGCACCGGTTGCTGGGGAACCTGATGAGATGCCGGAGAAAGAAGCCGATCAAAGGCAAGAAGACAAGCCTGTGGGCATTGAGATGGTGCTGGGAGAGGAGTATGATGACGTCATCACCTCTCTGGACGAGTACAACGCCTTCAAGACTCTCCTGCGCAGCGATCTGGCGTCGCTTCTCTTCATCCCCATCGAGCGGGTGGAAGTGATCTCTGTTCACCGGGGAAGCATCATCACTCACGTGAACCTCGTGCCGGGGGGAGGAAGCAGCGTTGGGTGCGAGGAGCTTGCTGACATCTTGATCGGCATGCTCGAAGATTCAAACAGCAGCATCTGGCAGACTTTCTCAATGAAGAAGGTGGTGAAGATCTTGAAGGTGGATGCGTTCGAGGCAGAGCAGGGTGAAGAGCTTCCTCCTGCTCCTGCTCGAGCTATGCCTGCGGACCAGGTGGAGGAAGTGGAGCGGGCGGGGCAGGCAGCGCCAGTGCATTCTCCCTCTGCTCAGCTGCAAGACGACATCCCCCCCCGTCGGATCTTCACTGAGGGAGTCGATCAGCTGGACGATGTGGTGGTCAGGAGCGTCAAGGCCTCTGAGAGATTCACCAGCTTCCTGCCCAGCATGAAGGTGGACTACTCGTTGGGGATGGACATGTGGACGTGGACGTGGGTTGGAGCCGCGCTCAGCTCGCTGAGGGGAGGCAGCGCGTCGTTGCAGGAGTGCATGTCGAGGAACAACTTCTGGAGCAGCTCGGCAGTCGCTCACGAGCGGGTCCACGAGATCCTGTGGAACAGGAGGACGAGTCAAGGGGCACAGGTGGAGGAGGAGGACGTCAAGTACATCATGACAGGAGGGACCATAAGGAGTTTGAGCGTCTTAGCGCGGATGGTCCTGTGGATGGGGCTCACGCTTGTGGGCATCGTGATGTGCATCCGAGAGTTCTACCTGTGGTTGATCGACTGCGAAGCTTTCGCGTCCAGATCGACGTCAGAGCTCTGCTTCAACCAGGGGGCGCGGGCTAAGAGGGGCCTTGAGGAGGGGATTCTCCTCCTCGTCGGCTGTGTTGTGTGCTTCATCCTGCAGCTCCTCGTCGCTCACTCCTACTCGTGCAGCGTCAGCAACTCGTCGACGGATGCTGCTAGCGGCCTCATGTCCTTCCTCTACAACAAGGCCCTCCACTCCAAGCAGTTCTGCGGGGCCAGCCAGTCAGACCACGAGAAGATTAACGCCTGCAACCTGGCTGAGCTGCTTCTCAACGACGTCTCGACTGTTTCAGCCACTACCAGAGCTCGCTTCCTCCTTCAGGCCTCAATCATTATCTGCGCCATCGCCATAGCGCTGATTGCCCGTGAGGTAGAGGTGGGAGCGATCGGCGGGTTGGCGGCCCTTGCGTTGCTCATGCTCGCCCACTTGCTCTCGATCTTGCTCGTCAACAGCAGGAAGCAGCAGCAGAGGGACTTGCTGAGGACCCCCAGGCTTGTCGAGATGCTGGGAGTGCTCAAGGACTGGATGGATGCCAAGGTCCTACAGCTGCAGAACGTGTTCATCGCCAACTTGACCTCGTACATCGAAAACGACATCTTCTCCTCTTCCGTCACTAGCGCGATCGAGTTTCTCTTCTCGTCTTTCCTCCCTGTCGTCGCGGCCTTCGTCACCTCTACGTCGATGCTCTTCATAGTGTACGCTGAGAAACGGTCGGTGTCAAACTTCGAGGTCTTCATGGTCCTGTGTATCTCAGCCTGCATGCAAGTACCGCTCTACGTCTACTCGAGCATCTCCCGATCGTCTCACAACTACCAAAACTCGCTCTCGCGCATAGTTCAGTTTCTCAACCACGAGGGGAGGCCTAAGGCAGACGACCACAAGAACAAGGGGCAGGAGGACCTCGCAGTCAGCGCCAAGCAGAGCATGTTCTTCTGGCCCAACAAGAGCTCCATAGACCACAACTTCTACCTCGGCTGCATGACCGACACCATCAACTTTGACATTCGCCGAGGACACCTCGTCGGAGTCTCCGGTACCACCAAGAGCGGCAAGTCGAGTGTGCTCAGTGCCATGGTCGGGTGGATGCCGCGGCACGGGCAGACCGGATACATGCACGTGTATGGGGAAGTGATCTTCTGCGGCAGACAGCCGCAGCTGCTGGCCGGCTCGATCAAGCAGAATGTTCTCTTCGGGCTCCCGTTGGACCACAACATGTACACCAAGGCCGTGACCTGCTCGGGTCTCGTTCGCTTCCTGCAGATGCTGCCGATGGGGGATGAGACGGTGATAGGCAAGAGCACGTCGGTCGCTCTCGACGAGACGTTTGCGAGCTGCATCGCGCTGGCGCGTGCCGTGTACAAGGATGCTGACGTGTACATCTTCGACGAGATCCTGGAGAGGCTCGACGATCAGACTCGCGACCTTGTGTGGCACAGCTGCATTCTCGGGCAGTTGAAGGCCAAGACAGTGGTTGTGTCCCTGAGCCTGTCCTCTCCCTACCTGGCTCACTGTAACTCCTTCCTCCTGGTCTCGGCCAGCAAGCAGGGACTGGACACCATCAGCAGCGTCGAGGCGCTTGCCTCGCTTGCCGAGCTGCGCATGAGGGCGGACGAGTTGCAGGAGAAGCAGCGGCTTGACATCGTCGACCTGGCCGACATGGCTTGCACTCCGTCTTGGTTGGTTCCTGACGTTGGGGTACTGCATCCTCCGCTGGTGATAAGCGAGTCAGGGTCTCAGTGGCTGTGGGCCGTCTACTGCTGGCTGTCTCAGGAGTACATCTCTCTTTTCATCTTCTTCCTCGTCTCCCTCGCTGGCCACTTGCTGTGCGGTCTGCAGAACTGGATCCTCCTGCACATGGACATCAACTTCAGCGGGCTGAACATTCTCAACACAAAGCCCGAAAACATCGCTATCGTGCTCATTGCTTGCTCCGGCTTTGCGTACATCCTTCTCTTCGCCGGCGACATGATCTGGTTCGTCCTGGTAGCGAGCAGCGCGAGCGTTCGCTTGCAGAACAGGTTCCTGGGTTGGTTTCAAAAGGGCCCGACGGAGCTCAAGGCCGTCGTGCAAGTCCTGACGTTCCAACTCACGTGCAGGAACGTTCAAGAATCAGTGGAGGAGTACCCCTTCTTCCTGATCCACAGCTTCCACTCCATGCTATCCGTCCTCTCCTCCCTCGTCCTCCTCACCTACGCCATCTGCTCCTTCACGGGCCATGCTCAGGCCACCTCATGGGGAGACTCGAAGCTCGTCTTCCTCTTCTTCTTCGCTCCTCTCATCAGCGCATGCGGATGGATCTGGAACACGACGAGGGGCATGAACGGACTTCGCGCTGTCTGCACGGCAGCCACGGAGTATCGGACACATCTGGAGGCCTTGTGCTCTTCCACAGCAGATTCTCTCACGCAGATCACTCTCAGCCGAAGCCACCGCTCGGCCCTGCTCTCGATGCAGGACGCTCTTGACAAGTACACCAGCAGCAGGAAGGCTGCCGCATGCCTGCAGTCCTGGACTGTCTTGTGCTCCGGCTTGTTCGGCTGCCTCCTCCTCTCCGCTGCCCTGATCGTCCTCCTGCTCTTGAAGCAGATGGGGGCGCTGACTGACATCAACGGCTTTTCTCTTGCTGGGCTCGTGCTGGCGTCTGCAGTCCAGCTGGTCCTCTACGTGCCCTGGATGACTTTCTGCTTCCTCGAGTCGGCCGTTGTCTTCCACCTTTTCATCCGGCGGGTCTTGGAGGCAGACGAGTTCTTCCCTCTCGAGGAGAAGCCGCTCTCCCGAGCCCTTCAAGTCCTCCCGCAGTCCTGGAGCACCCAAGAGGCTGGCTCCATCCTGTTCCAGGACGTCACGACGATCGACGAGTACGGCATGAAGGAGCTGGATGGCATGACGCTGGACGTGCGGGCCGGCAGCCGCGCCCTCGTCCTCTCCCGCAGGTCCGAAGACCTCAAGGCCCTTGCCCGCTGCCTGCTCAAGACGTCGCCCATCATCCAGGGGTCTCTGTTCCTCGGAGGAGCGGACAGCATCTCAGTCACGATCGAGGCCGTGCGGAAGCACGTAGGGCTGGTGCCAAGGGAGCCGCTGCTGTTCAAGGGCTCACTGACCTTCAACGTGGACCCCACGGAGGAGATGATGAGCACCCAGGACGGGCAGCACAACCTGCTCACCCTCCTCAAGTTCGTCGGCGTCGTCCCCCGCGAGCACCAGCAGCTGCCTCCCAGCTTCGTCAACAACGATCTCACGGCCTCCGACTCCCGCCAGCGCTTCCTGATGGGCCTGGCTCGGGTCCTCCTGCGCCGCCCACAGGTCCTGGTGCTGGAGGAGGCGACTTGCGTGCTGTCCATGGAGGAGCTGAACCGACTGGACTCGCTCTTCGACGGGCAGAGGAACGTTACCGTGCTTCACCTCAGCTCAACTCCTATGCGCTGCTCCCAGTTTGACCGCGTCGTGGTGATGAAGCAGCGCAGGGTGGTCGAGGACGGCTCCCCCGTCGACCTGCTGGCCATGGGAAGCGAGTTCAAGTCCATCATGGCAGGCGTCGGAGCGCAGTGGAGCCGGCAGGAGCAAGAGGAGATCGAGCAACGTGTGTCCTCCAATGCTACTCCGATGATGTCGCTACATAGCTCTAGGGCTCAAGATCCTGCTGTGGGGATCACCCCAGCTGCAGCTCCAGCTGTTGCTCACTCCCCCGCGTCTGGCTCTGCATTCACCCCTGTTCCAGCTCCTGCTCCTGCTCCAGCCTCTGTTCGCACCGTTGTAGGAAAGAGTGCATCAGCAGCGCAGAGTGGTGCTGTGTTGGATGAGAGGGAGGAGGAGATGGTGCAGCAGCTGCGGAGACTCGAGGAGAGCTACTCGTTCGACCTCATCCGCTCGTGCATCGCTGCGGTCCACGAGAAGCTGCAGCTGGACGCCGAGGGCGGAGTCCAGCTGACTTCTCAGGTGCTGACGTGGCGCAGCACCGTGATGAAGGACATGGAGGGCAGACTGGAGGCGCACAAGGCAAACAAGATCAGGGAGGTGCTGGAGCTCTGCTGCAGGAGGGAGGTGGAGGACGTCGCGTCGCTCGTGGGGGAGCCCTCCATGCTTGTCCACATCCTCGCCAGGCTCCTCCGCGGTCTGCCTCGCCCGCTCATCTCCCCCGAATTCTTGTCGCAGTCCGAGGGCGCGGCAGGAGGAGTGACACTGCAGGGTAGGATCAAGAGCCTGTCGGATGCGGTGCAGAACCTGTTGACGGAGGAGGGAGAGTACCTGGAGCTCTTCGTTCAGGTCGCCTGGCTTCTCTCCCTCATCCAGGGCTACTGTGGCGGCGCGTACGACGCTACCTGGCTGGCCCATAGGATGACGCCGTTCCTGACCAACACCCACCTGGAGCCAGCCCAGCGCATGCTGACCTTGTTCATCACTCACTACGACCAGATCTTGGAGGGTCAAGTCACGTACGGGGAGGAGGAGGAGGTGCAGCAAAGCACGCACACGGCGACTTCGGCGCAATCCCCTCCTCCGCATCATCAGCATCCAGTTGTCGAGTCGGCTCCCCTCCCTCCCGCTCCTCTTTCTGCATCTCCGCCATCGGCGGCTGCTCCTCTTCCTCCTTCGCCTCCGGCAGCTGCGGCTGCTCCAACAGGAGCTCCTCCTGCCTCCCCACCGAAGGGAAATAGGCCGAGCTTGCACAATGCGCTGGAGGCTGGGGATGTGGAGGTGAGCTGCTGCTGTTGCTGCTGCTGCTGTTGTTGCTGCTGCTGTTGCTGCTGCTGCTGCTGCTGCTGCTGTTTCTCTTTCTCTCCTCCTCCTCCTCCTCTCCTGCTGCTGCTTCTCTTCTCCCTCCTGTCCTACTTTTCTTCTTCTATTGCTGTCGCTGCGGGTCGTGCTGACTGGAAGCAGGTGATGAAGAAGGCGATTGCGGAGGGAGCAGATCTGGACGAGAGAAATCAGGACAATTTCACCGTCCTCATGATCTCCTGCTCCCTCGGCCGCTCGGACATCGTCCGGTGCCTTCTGGACGCAGGCGCTTCTCCCGCTGCCACTGACGGGCAGGGGCTGAACTCGCTGCATGTGACGGTGGCTGGGCGAGAGGAAGGGGGAGAGTATGCTACCATCCTCAAGATGCTGCTGGACGCTGCGAAGGAGCAGGCGAGCCTGCTGGTGACGGCGAAGACGGCCTTCGGGGACGACGTGCTTCACTTCTTGTCGACGTGCTCGTCGGAGGAAGGGATGCACGAGGACTGGCCGAGGCTGGTCGAGCTTCTCCTCCTGCATGGATGCGACCCGAGGGCCGTCAACAGCGCAGGGAGACAGCGTTGCAGATCGCTCGGAGCAACGGGGCGCTGGCGCTGGCGACCTACCTGGAGGGGAAGGAGCAGGGGACGGGGATGGTGCGCGAGGCGTCGGGGGGGCTGCCGGGCTCGGCAGAGAGGAAGCGGCTGGGGGACCGTGTACCGGGGGCGTTGCAGGAGGGGACTCTCCACCTGCTGGATACCAAGAAGAAGGAATGGTTCCCCAAGTACTATGCTATTGTGCCGCTCCTCAATGACAAGGAAGGGACGGGGCACGGGGACTTCGCCTACATGCTGCAGAACGCGGAGAGCAAGGAGGACGCGATCCTGGGCCGGTGGATCGAGAAGATCAACCTCAACGGGGCTGAAGTGAAGGTCGTTACCGGCACTGTCTTCGCCGTCAAGGTTGTACCTGCTCCCCACCCATCACCTCTTCCACTGCACTCCCCTTCCTCTTACCATCCCCTCTCTCCACCTCTCCTCTTCTCTTCCCACCGCCTTGTTCTCCTGCCCTCGAGCTCCCTTGCCTTCATTTTCAACCTCCCCCCCCTCCCCCTCCTCCTCCTCCTCCTCCTCCTCCTCCTCCTCCTCCTCCCCTGACTTGCTCCCAGACTTCCCCTGAAGTGTCCAAGAGCCGAACCTACCGGGTGAGCGCCGACACTCTCAACGAGGTTCGCGCCTGGTTCATCGCACTTGAGCTCGTGCCCAATGTCAAGGTGACAAGCTGCAGATTCCAATGCTGCTTCTTCCTCACTCCTCCTGCTGTCTTCCTCCTTCCTCCCTCCCTCCTTCTGCTGTCTCCCTCCTCTCCTCCTCAATTTGTATGCAGACGATTTGGGAGGACTCGCAAGGAAACGTTCTGTCTCGTCAGATGGACACGCCGAGCTTGTCGCCAGCATCGCCGATGGTGTCGCCCTCCTTCGGTCCTGTAAGATAGGAAGCGTGTGGCGGTTTTAGCTCGCCAATTTGAATTTTCAATTAAATCAAACAAAGTTCAGACATGCTTGAGGGTAACCGTCTTGCTCCAGAGGACGAGGAGCGCCTGCAACAACATGAGAGATAGAGAGATAAGGGAGAGAACAACAAAGGAAGGGGAGGGAGAGGGGAAGGAGGGGAGGGGAGGGGAGAGCGAGGATAGAAGGGAGGAGTTGAGAGAAAAAGAAAGCGAGAGGGAAGGAGGACGGGATGGAGCATGTTGAGGCAAAACTTACAACAGTGAGGACGAAGAGAATTGCTCCCAGAGTTCCAACGGTGATGCGATAGATGGAAGTGATCCTGCGGACAGATGAGGAGAGCGATGCGGAGAGGAGAAGGGCAGGGAAACAAGAGAGGGGAGGGAGGAGGAGGAGGGAAACAAGTGAGGGGAGGGAGGAGGAGGAGGAGCAGGAGAGAAAGAGAGGGAGGAGGTCGAAGGCGCAGCATGGCACCTGGAGACAAACGTGTGGACGCGCTTGAAGTTGCAGTAGATGCAGTCAGTGAGAGCGATCTGCAGGTGAAGCTGCGACAGAGAATCACTGGTTGACCTCAGGACAGCATGGGGACGAGGAGGATGACGACGATGACGAGGAGGAGGAACAAGAGGGAAGGGGGGAGGGAGGAGGGAGGGAGGAATGGCGAACCTCATTTCGAAGCTGCTTGATGATGCTGATAATCTGATCGTGCATGCACTGCTTGATCAGTTCCTGTCGCTTCTCCTCCTTCACCATCCTCTTCTTCTCTCGCACTTTGTTGACCCATCGCTTCCCATACTTGAGCGCCGCCGCGTTCGCGTCCACGTCATGGTCTCCTCGTCTACGGGCGATCGCTTGCTCGAGCAACTCTCTGATCCTCTTGTTCTGCTCCGCCTTGCGTCTGATCCCGACCGCAACGATGAGCGCGAAGTAGACGACCAGGGCGACGATGGTGGCGATGATGAGCTTGACTTGGAAGCGAGTGCCGGAGCTGCAGCCATCCGCGTTGAGCAGGGGCTGGTCTTGGGTGAGGAACTTGGTGGCGAGAAGGCTGGAAGTCCCGTCGTCGAAGAGCTCCTGCATGGTTGCTGAGAGGGCATCGGCGAGGTAGTGGGCCGCATAGACGCTGTTGGAGTAGCTGCAGGCCTTGATGAGGTCGCTGGTCCAGCGCGAGGAGGAGATGGAGGAGAAGTTGCTTCCTACGATCCTCATGGGGTTCCCGCACATCTGGTCGTTGAGGCCCCTGGACTGGAAGTATGCGATGACATCGCTGTGGGCAGCCACGAACGCACTGATAGTCTGATCCGTCAGCAGGAATTTCTCACATTCCGCCAGGTCCTTGCACTTGATTGTGGTGAAGCTGTAGTCCAACCCAAGGTCGATACCCTTCACCAGCGGCTCCGACATGCTCTCCAGGACCCCGACTTGGAAGGTTGAGAGGTCGTAGACGCTCTTGATGCTGTTCTCCTTCGCTGCCACGTTGATCTGCTCAGAGACGCCGCTGCTGAAGACTCCGTAGCACAACATTCCGAGGAACATCCAGATCACGGTCAAGTTCTTCCCCAGCCCCGTCCTGGGTGCCTTGTCGCCGTAGCCCACACTGGTGACTGTGACGATGGAGAACCAGAGTCCGTCCATCACTCCGTACACGTACGACTTGTTGAAGAGGTCTGGGTTCTGGCGTCGTTCCACCCACCAGAAGATGTGCCCGACGACGAGCATGACGAAGTAGCAGAAGACGATGAAGTTGATGAAGGAAGGAGAGATGAGGAGCATGAGGATCGCAAACTCTATCGACACTACCTTCTCGTCCGACCTCTTCACCACCACCAGACCGTCCTGCACTCGAAGTCAGCCCTGCCCCCTCCCTCCTCCTCTAGCGCACCTGCTTCCAGAGTGTCGAGGAGCAGAAGAAGTCGCTCGTGTTGTACTGGGGAGGTCGCCAAGGCATCTTGTAGGAGCTGAACAGCGCAAGCTTGAACTCTGCGTTCCCTGCCCCGACGCCCTCCACCACCGGAGGACGGAGTTGGGCAACAGTGAGCGAGCTGGGGGACAGCACGAACCTGTACGTCCACAGCAGTCGCTCAGCTGCAGCATGGAACATCTGCACGGCATATCCCGTGAAGCACAGGCTGTCGTTAGAGACGGCTGGGTCAGGATCCCAGCAGAGCCAGCCCTCCGACTCCAGCTTCGCCTTCTGATCGCTTGTGTTGAACTGGATGACGTCTACGAACGGCGGCAGCCGCTCGACCTCCACCTTGAGCAGGCAGGAAGAGGACCATGGATACTGCGAGAGAAGACGCTTGTACGTCTTGGAGCCCCGGGACGCACAGTAGTGAAAGGACATGTAGAAGTTGTAAGTCGCCGAGTTGATCACGCAACGACTGCCCTCCACGACGCAGTGACCGAGGAACGGCCCGTAGTCCTCCGGGTAGTCCGCGATCCTCCACTCCTCTGAGTCGATCATCCTGTCCATGTTGAGGTCGGCAGCGACGAACTTACGCTCGAGGAAAGAGATGACGCCGTTCTTATCCATATCGTGCAGATTGAAATTCCTCTTCAGATCCGTCCCATCCACGTCCCCCTGCGGCGACGGCGGGCAGTCGGCAGCCACGACCCCGCTGGCAGGGCACTCAGAGCAGTTGCATCCGACGACAGGACAGAGTGGTTTGCAGTCAGTCCTGTAGAGGGAGGAGTAGAACTCTTCAGGTGACAGCACCCCGTCTCCGTTCTTGTCCGAGAAATGATAGAAGTAATGCTCCTCCATGGACACCCTCCCCGACCCGTCCAGGTCCCTGCTGCTCATGCTGCTCATCTTCTCGACGCTCTCCGGCTCCCTCACGTCGTAGGAGCGGAAGCCTTGCTTCCTGTGGTTGACGTAGTACTCCAGCATCAGGTTGATGGCATTCGTGCTCCAAATCGCATACAGGGCCTCGTCCATGAAGAACCCTCCGAACGGCCCTTGAGCAAGCGACCTGCCGTCGGAGGGGACGAGGCTGGGGCCTGCTCCAGAGACCAGGACAGGAGTCCAGAAGTGGCGGAAGATGTCCCACTCTTGCATGGAAACCATGAAGTCGTTGTTGAAATCGATGAAGGCAAACACATAGAACGGGTTCAAGCGCGAGAACTGGACGTCGAACGTCATCCTGCCTCCAGTGTAGAGCTGATAGTTCTGGGAGGGAGCAACGAGGTAGTCGGTGAAGTAGGGGAGAAACTCCTGGTAGCTCAGCCGCCCGTTGCCGTCTGTGTCGAGAACCGACAGGTCACCTGCCCACTTTGTGCAGTCGAGGTAGCAGAGGCTGAATTTGGAGACTTCCGCTGCGCAGAGGTCTTGGTTGGGGGAGATGACGATGACCAAGGGGACTGCAAGGGGATACCCGAGGCTCCACACGCAATGGCGGCAGCATGGCGCGTACTCCTTGATATACCCCAGCGCAGGGGTAGCGTTCATGGAACTGATGTTCGACTTTGTCCACCATGAAGGAGGGTAGGACGTGATGTATGGTGACCACTCGCTTGCTGGGCAGAAAGAGGAGGAGATGTTGGGAAGGAGACACTGGCCCGACGCTCCCGTGCGCAGACAGGATGTTGCAGGGCAAAAGCCGCAGTTTACTCCTTGGATTAGGAGGAGGCAGAGGGCGGATATGAAGGGCGCGCAAGCCTTCATGATCAGAGAAGGGGCAAGGGATGTAGTCAGAGAGCGATCAGGTAGATGCAGATAGGATCAGGGAGATGAAGGAGGAGGAGGAGGAAGGAGGGAGGAGAGCCATGGCATGAGCAAACATCAGCCAACACTAGAATACAGCACGGACGTCGAGGTCACAGACGAATCTTGGAGTATTCACAGATAGATAACAAGGAGAGGAGAGTTTGATGTTGAAGAGAAGGAGGGAGGGAGGGAGGGAGGGAGGGAGGGAGGAGGAGGAGGAGGAGGAGGAGCCAGCGATTTTCACTCTATGCCTTGCGTCTGCATAGAGCTGGAGGGGACAAACCTTTAGTTTGGGGGTGGGTCCATTTGCTGGGTAGGGGTACTATAAAAGACTATCATGGTTCTTTGTACGGGTACTTTGATAGTCATTTTTAGGGGTGAAATATCATATCTGCGAATTGCTACGGTAGGGGTGGGGAATTTTTCAGGGAGCGGCTCAAGATGGGGGTGGGGGTGGGGGTTGTCGGGTAAACTGGACAAAGAACCAGGTTATTGGAATGGAGGAAGAGAAGGGAAGGAGAGGAGGAGAGAAGGAGAGTAGGGGGTGGGAGAGAGAGAGAGAGAGAATC